CTGCCCCGTTCAGTTTGGGAGATTATTGGCTCACAGCAGAGACGAGCCGCACGAACCATAAACGCTGCAAGTTGTGAAGCGCATTCCATCCGCGAGCCGCATCACCAAGCGGAAAGTGAATGCGTCAAGCATAAACCAAGCTTTATGGACCAATCATAGCCCTTTATGTGTTTGAAACCCCTCAGAGCTGATTGGCCAGCCAGAGTCCTGGTAGGAGCTTCGGAGGTTCCAATGGAGCGTGCCTAGACCAAACTTTGCAAAGCAAGAATTTGGTCTAGTTCACTAGGCTACAGTCGGGCTGCAATATCAGTTACATGAACTGGCAAGATGCATAACTCTTGACTGAATGCAGAGAGGAGTTGTTAACTGAAGGTGAGCGGCTTCATGTTGGTCTACAGCAGACCATGTGTTCCCTCCAGGCCAGGTGCTGTACAAGTAACAGCCCACTCCTCAGGGTTAGGTCAAATGCAGATGAATCACCCAAAGGAGATTAATAAAGTGCAACTTATAGTTGTTATTATTTAAAAATATATAAATATTACACCTTTTCCAATAAATCAACACCCACTTACTTTTCTAAGCTTGGAGTATAAATTGTAACAATTTTCTCTCTTAATTCACATAAATGTGCTTTTTAATAATTATTTTATATATTTCCTTTTTCTAGAACCAGAAGAGATCATTTAGCCTAACTAGAGGTTCTTTCAATGCGTGACCAAAAATAGACTCAGTAAACAAGAATTAAGAGCCACAGAAGATTATTAAATGCAGTTATTTAGTCACAGCCACTCACTGAGAGACAGTGGGGTTTTATTTAATATGTCATTAATTTTTATCAGGTAGAAATATAATTTAGGCAGGGACACCCTGAACATTAAGGGCCACACAGAAACACATGGCTTTCACACACTCACTTAAACACACACAATTTAGAGTTGGCTGTTTAACCTAACATGCATGTTTTGGTCTGGGAGCCAATCAGAGTACCTGCAGAAAACCCATGCATGCATGAGGAGAACACGCTAACTCTGTGCAGAAACACCTGGATTCAAACCTGTGACCTTCTTGCTGTGAGGCAGCAGAGCTACCAGCTGCCCCACTATAGCACCCAATTAAACGTCAACTGGATCCATTAACCTGAGTTGCCTGAATGTAAAGAATAAAAGTATTTCTTTTTAATATAACAATGTATATGACTCTTTAACTGTAATGAGCTATCCAAAGGAATTCTACAGTGAAATAATCATAAAACATTCTAATGTCTCAGTCTTGGAGGAAGTTTGCATTTAAGCTGTTTCAGTCAGCTTGGGGGGGTGGGGGGGTGGGGGGGTCAGTTTTTCTACTTTCAAAATAACGAGATGTTTATAATTATACTTATACTTATGATGAACCACAACCACGCAGTTATGAGCCCTCTGCACGCCCCAGAGGGAGAAACGATGGCCAAAGGAGAGACATTGAGTTGTGGTTTCAGGAGAATCAGTGGCAAGTAGGCCAGGTGTCGTGGTGAGAGCATGATATTAGCTTAAACGTGTGTGCTAACATCATTTAGGAAAAAAATAATTTTTAGAAGCTTTGCAGAAAAAGGCCATTTTTTACTTGAAAAAAAAAATGCACTGTTGTGTGTTGTAAAACAAAATACCCATAATAGGCTTTTCAAATAGTATTTGTTTGACATTTTATATGAAATAAATAAAAAATAACCTGCAGTTTGCTCTTTAAGCAGCTAGGTTTAGAGGAACCAGTTCATATCACTTGGTTCACTACCTAATGTCGTTTTGCATATTTGGTTTAAACTGATTGAAAGTCTTGGCCAAAGTCTTGGTCAAAGTAGAAATTCTTTATTACAACACACACACACACACACACACACACACACACACACACACACACACACACACACACACACACACACACACACACACACACACACACACACACACACATTCAGCTGCCAGTTATTCTGCTGCACTGACATGATTTCCATGATAAGAACCAGGAAACACCCACACTGGTAGCATTTTCAGAAATGTCAGCGCTGTCACCTGTAGAACTGTAGGTGTGACTGTGTGTAAGTCAGTCACTGCTCTCACTTCCCATGATGCAGTTTGACACGTGTCAATTGTTTTGTCACAAGCGCTGACTCCTGGAGCATCATGGATAATTTACCAACACGTCAAGCAGCTCCCATCCTCCTCTTTCCTTATGACTAACAGAGCAGAGTGAGTCTCTCATGACTAAGACATTCAAGCCCAAAATGTAATGACTGGACTTGAAGACCCGTAAGGATCCTGAGGCACAGTAAGGCACTTTAAAGTCTTTATTAGCAAAAATCTAAGATGTGGCGTTACCCATGGAGGGCGAGGCTGGAGACAGAGTCGGGGAACAGGCATGGGTCAGAATCAGGAAGATCTGTAAGAGGTCTGTGGAGCAGGCGAGAGACGTGGTAGAGGACAGGCGCGGGTAGTGAATACAGGTAGGGTTCCTGCCGAGGGTCAGATGTGAAGCGAGGTGGAGGAGGGAAACAAGGTCGATGATCAATGGGTCAGGCAGGAAGAGCTACAAGCAAGAGCGTTCAATAATCTGGCAATGGTTGGAGAGCAGGCCGGTTCTTATGTAGCAGGAGAGGCAGGTGTGTGGCATGAGCTTGATGAGAGGACCAGGTGTGATGAATGAAGGCTGATGAGATGACTGATAGTGCTTGGAGGTCAGGGCATGGCAGAATCATGACAGAACCCCCCCACAAGGGCGTATACCAGATGCCCACAGGAAACCAGAGCAGGACGGGAGGAGGGGGACCAGGAAGGAGGGCCAGAAACCAGAACAGAAAGAATCCAAGAACATAAAGCGGGCCCAGTAAAGGGCGCCTAATGAAGCAGAGGTCAGGAGGGCGACCGGGAGGCCGCACGGGGATGCAGAGTTCAGGAGGGCGGCGTTGAGGCAGGCCGAACGATGAGACGCGGCTCTGGGGCCCGGCGATGACGGACCAGGAGCCTCTTGGACGGGTGGAGGTGGGACCACGACTGGACCTGAATGTGGTGCTGGAGGGTTCTGGGGAAGGTGTACATCCCTCACAGCAGGTCCGGCCTTCTGTGAGGTGGTGGCTTGATCGCCAGGTGCGTTCCCCAGAATGGTGACTCCTGTACCTTCTCCAACTCCATGAACTCAAGGAGCATGAGAAACTCACCTGCTGGATCCATGACAATCAGATTGTACTGTACGTTGGCTCAACTCCTGCTTTGCCAGTCCTGTGTCTGCGTCGGGTCCATGTATGGGCAGATTATTCTATAATGACTGGACTTGAAGACCCATATGGACCCTGAGGCAAGGTAAGACACTTTAAAAGTCTTTATTAGCAAAAAGCTAAGACGTGGCGTTACCCATGGAGGGCGAGGCTGGAGACAGAGTCGGGAACAGGCGTGGGTCAGAACCAGGAAGATCTGTAAGAGGTCCATGGAGCAGGCGAGAAGCAGAGTCGGGAACAGGCATGGGTGGTGTGACCAGGTGTGATGAATGAAGGCTGATGAGATGAATGATGGTGCATGGAGATCAGGGCATGGCAGGATCATGACACGAAAGGATTCCTCATCTGCTGCTGTCTGTCATTGTCTTCGCATCTCTCCGCTAGTCCTAGAGCCACACAACAAGCTGCATGATACTACGCAATCCCATCCAGCCCTGTAGTGCTCTTGTTTCTGCATTCAGGTGCTGTACTGCTTCGTGACCTTTTCTCCTTAGAGATGTCTTGCTTATTATCATGCCATTAGTTTCCTATGGCTTTGTTTCATTTCTCCTCTCTCTCTGGTTTTGTCTCACTTTTTCACACAAAATTTTCATTCTGGTCATGGTTGTTAAGAGGAGAGACAATGATGACCATCTACTAATGCCATACAAATGGGGAAAGAGCAGTGAAGGGTAAGGGCATTGCAGGAGATAAAAAGTGCATTTTCACACCTTGAAACAGACGTTGATAAACTAAGGCACATAGAAGAAACACTCAGTTTCTTTTTAAGTCTTTATCAGAATCTGGGGGTCACGGACCCCTCAGATGTACCACAAATCTCGTTTTCAGGGTTCCTGTCTCATCTCCAGAAGTCTACTTTGACCTTTTCTTTCCTTTTTCAAAATGTTCTCATCAAGCCTTTTGCTCAGTTGTTGGTGGAAAACCACTTTTTTTCCATTTCTTACATCATTTGAATTGTTTGAGAGGGAGCAGAAAAAAAATCATAATAACAAAATATTTCAAGTATATAATTTTCCTAATTCTGATGAGAGCCGTCAGATTTAGAAGGGTTGTTTGGCATCAAAAGTAGGAAGGTAACTTGTTTTCATTTTGATTTACTGTCTTCCTCGATTCACTTGCGAGGCTTGCAACGTGTTCAGCAGAAACTCTAAAGCGAAGGTATTCTTAGACTCCTTTGCCTCTCTGCATAGTTAAGGATGGAGTCGAAACATAAAATATGCAAGAAGCCCTAAAATAGGAATGCTTGCTTTGCCTTCAAATAGACACAACATGTGGATTTTGTTGAAGTAAACAACTGACAAGTAAAAAATGTATGAAATCTGTAATGTCTTGTAGAGAGAGAGAGACGTGCTGAGAGAAAGAGCGGAGTGGAGGAATAGAACAAGCAAATCGCTCCTGACTTTCCACAGAAGGAAGAGTCCACTGAGACGGCTTGTGGGTAGTGCCAAGTAAATGCAGCGAGAACCTTTTTGGAGGGGGGTGGATGTGCATGTGAGGGTGAGGAAGGGGGAGGGGGAGGGACCTCTGTATGTCCTGAGGGATGCCTGATCCATGCCTTGGCTCACTCCAGCTACCAGATGAGCAGTTACGTAACCACAGAAGCTGACTAATGTCTAACTCTGAGAATTTACAATAACTCAATAGCATTAAGGGCTCGAGCTGTTGCCATGCAAACATGTGGCAGAACTGACATATAAAACGTGTTATGCAGTTTTTTTGAGCATTTCATAAAAAGCTAGAAAGTACTTGTTCATACCTCCAAAGTAAGATCCATCAGTCAGCTTCATCTCCTTGTTGAATTTGGTGATGACGCTCACAACGCCGTGCTGGATGAAGTACATCTTCTTCCCGACTGTGCCTTCCCTGATTATGTAGTCATTTGGCTGGAAAACCTCAAACTTCAACTTGCTCAGCATCCCGGTCACAAAGTTAGGGTCTGCATTGGCAAACAGCGGCATGGTGGCCACGAGCTTACGGCAGTTGAAGTTGACTATTTCCTAGAGGTGGAAAAATGGGATATATGCCAAATAAATTATTTATTTCCATCCAAAATATGAAATAACGAGCAGCAGTAAGACCCTGACACAAAATACCCTCAAGAAACCTTCCAATTTCTGCTGCTCTTGTCTGAACACACAAACAAGTTTGATGCATAGTACTTTAGCATTAGTCTTAATGCTGCTAAAGCACTTCCCATATCTCTCCTGGGAGGAAACTTTTTGGCACACGAGTCACACCCTGATGAGTTTGCCCTCCGGTGTCGGCTACAAGCCATGTCTCTGGTTTCATCCTGTCCTCTCGTACGCTGCAGGAGATTAGGAGCTTGCTGTCTGTTTGTCCACACATCTCTGTTGCCGTGCAGATGGAAAGCTGGGGCATTTGGCAAATGCAGTAGCATGCTGTTGACCCCACGCGCGAGAGATAACTCTTCTCCGTGACAACAGAACATTAACAGATAGATAACCAATCTCTGCCATGTTGTTGGCTACAGAGAGAATGCTAGCTATGGCTCAGATGTGTTTGCCAGCAATCCGGAATCACAACTAGTGAATCTGAATGGGAACTATTTTTTATGTCCAACCAGGATAGATTGGGGAAACCATCAACGGCTGTGATGGTTCATAGATGAGAGTATAAGAGAGGAAAGAAAAGGTGATGAAGTTTAGAGGATCTAAAATGTAACATCTTCACATCAACAGTTGGAACTTATGTATGCATGTGTCTCTATTTGAGCGGTCCAGCCCAAAAGGACCGCTCTCTGGGCCAAAAAGTTTGCGATACGCTGAAATCTTGACCTGAAAGGGCTGATTTTTTTATGGAGACACAATGGAGTCAGCATATTTTCCCTGTCATCTTGCCCCATCCCTGAAATTTTCCAGAACTCCTATAGTCGAAACACAGCTAATGTATGCACCTAAAAACTGAAAGAACAGGAATCCTCTTTCGTTATTTTATAAATTTTATACCTGTAAAGAGAGGAAGTTTGGGAATCACAATCCAAGAACAACCAAGATTAGATTTTAAAACATGGAGTTGTTCATTACATCAACTCTCCAAGGAAGACACACACCTTAGCACTCACCAATTTTCCATTAATCTGGGTCCTTTTACTTCATCTGTTCGTGTCCTGCCGATTGGACTATTGCAACTCCCTGTATTCTGGCCTGGACCAGTCCTCCCTACACCGGCTTCAGCTGGTCCAAAATGCAGCGGCACGTTTGCTGACTGGCACCAGCAAGCGGGATCACATAACCCCGGTGCTGACCTCTCTCCATTGGCATCCTGTCTCTTACAAGGATCCATTTCAAAATTTTACTTTTTGTTTTTAAATCCCTTCAAGACCTGGCCCCATTTTACATCTCTGAGCTGCTGTCTGCTTACTTCCCTGCCAAAACCATGAGGTCCATCCCTCAAGCTCTTTTAACAGTTCCAAAAACCCACCATAAGACTTGCGGAGACAGATCTTTCTCTGTTGTTGGTCCCAAACTGTGGAACAAGCTACTGTACCACTCAACATCAGGACCACACAGAATCTAGAGCATTTTAAATCCCTTCATAAGATGCATTTTTTTGATCTGGCTTCTCATGCAGGTTGACTTGTCTTAATAGTTTTTAACAGTTTTATTATAGATTGTGACTGTTGTGTGCTCATCTTATTTTAGGTTTTTATTGTTGATTTGTTGTACCTTGATTTGTTTAACGTTGTACAGCGCTTTGGGTGTAGCTTTGCTGCTGTAAATGCACTCTGTAAATAAAACTGACCTTGACCTTGACCTTAGCAAGCATGGTGCATCCTATTGACCTCTAAGCATTGGTGATCTGTATGAAACGGTCTATCTTTTTAAAACTAAAGAACAAAGAAATTCTGCCTTTATTTCAGCTCTGAAGTTCTGAGACATGTAATTGAAAGAGTCACAAATATTAAACTGGAAACAGAACCAAAGTAGCCTTCCTTTAAAACAGCTACACCTACATTGTGTCTCTGCGTCAGTTAAACGCCCTCACTCACCTGCACTGCATCACTATGACATCACGCCAAAACAAATACCACACAACCCTCCTGAAACTCATACATCCAGCAGCAGAAAAATAGTGGTTGTTAATATCGGCCCAGCTTCATTCATCAGACCAATGTTGATATGTTAAAAAGTCACTAACATCGGCTGATACCGATGTTGCTGCTGACATATCTCTATTTCAAAGTACATATAAGCCACTACAGTAATAAAATCAACTGTTCCACATAATATCACAGCAAACTGAAATAATTCATTTGATCTTTTAACACTCAAGAGTATCTGTTGTGAATGACTGTGAATGAATTTTAGGTCAATATCAGTACAGCTGATTGAGTTTTAACTATTGTTGAGTTTGCCAAGGTTGATTGGCTGTGACAGCCATCTCGAATTGGGTTTAGACAAATAAAAGCAAGCTGACTAACAGCTAAAGAGCAAGTCACCCACTAACCGAGTATTACTCCACTCCTACTTCCTGTTTGAAAAATGCAACAAATGCTGTTTCCTAGCAGACCGAGAGGACGGAGCTGCTAACAAATACACACACACACACACACACACACACACACACACACACACACACACACACACACACACACACACACACACACACACACAGGCTCACAATGGCATTGTGACATCATATGGTACCAGCTAACGTTCTAGTATAGCTCTTAGCCAATAGCGATGGATTTAAATTCAAATGCAGTGCAGAGCTTTTACTTGACAACGGCACAACACTGACAGTTTTAGGCAGAAAATAAAATTTTAACTAAAATGCATTTAAGTAGAAAACTATTGACTACACGTGTCTGCAGCACGATTAAACACACATTTCTGTAGTTTATCAGAAAAAAATAGGTGATTTGGGGGTGACTTGCTCTTTAAAGACCAAGTTCACTAGTTTTGTTTAACACATTTGCACTGGTCTCTAGCATAATTGACTGCCTAGTGAATCAATCTCTGTGGAACAAAAAGCTCTTGATCTCCTGTTTTAGGACCTAAAAGTGAGCCACAGCTGAGATGAGCGGCAGACATCAGTCTGACTTCCTGCTATTCGGACAACTCCCCTCTAATTGGCTGACAGCAACACAACTCTACCACTGACTCAGTTTGCTTTACAACGCAGATGGTTTATCGCCTCAAATACCACAAGCCTGAAGGAGTTCTGCCATGTTGTGGAGTTGCTAATGCTAACAGTTAGCTTCTACTAGCCAAGAAGTGCTCTGCTGTCTCCTGGATGCTAAACCAACAACAGCATTCCGCGTTGCAAGCCAAGCCCGGTGAGTCAATAAATGCTAATTAGACATTCTGACGTGCTTATGTCACTGGCTAGTCTAATCCAAGTCTCTCTGTCTATTTTCTATTGGCAGCTAATGCAGTAAATAGGTCTAGAAGACTATTTCACATTTAGCCTGCATGTTAAATTCAGTGTGACCGATCATATTTAAAAAATAACAAGAACAATGGTTTCTGAGGAACTTGGCCTTTAATGCTAGAGTTTAATTTGAATATGTATTATATCTGTTAGCCTGTTAGTTCCATAACACACAATAATCATGAATAAATTGTGTTTAGACCTTCAGCATGTGATTGTAGACTAGAGTGGATGTTAAAACAGCTTTACCCTGAGCAGCGTTGGTGCTCTGCGCTGTCTTCAGCAGGGGCGGATTTAGGACTGAAGAAGATCCGGGGCTTAACACACATGCGCGCGCGCTGACACACACTAGTCAACATCATATATATTTGTCTTGTACCACATAATTTTTAATCTGAAGCTACAGATTAAGCATTTTCAGGCCAGAGTATTGTTCCTGTTAGTGTTTAGTGTGAGATGATTGTAAATATTCCCTTTACCTGATAGTAAGCTAACTTTAGGCAAACCAGCAGCACAACAAATATTTTCAAATAAGACTCACAAACCTGAGTCAACACCAGTCTCATCAAAGCTGGGGTTCTGTCGTTGTACTTTTTGTCTAAAAAACATTCTTATGTCCATCTTCACTCGTGCGTTTCAGGCAGAGAGTGTAGAAGAAGCCGGCTGCTGAAGGGCTTCTTCTTCAGTGGTGGAGGCTCAGGCAGGCTGTATACAAACTACTGCCAGCTGCTCCCTCTCTGTTGGACTTTGGTACTGCATGTTACTTCCACGTTTGAGATCCGGGGCTTTTCATGAAACATCTGGGGCTTCAGCCCAAGTAGCCAGGCCTAACGCCGCCCCTGGTCTTCAGGATGATTTGAGCTGATCTTGCTGCTGAGTTAAGCCTGTGGAACTGTCTGTTAAACCTGTAAATCCCTGTGCCCTTTTAGTGAATATTCACAACCATATACTAGCATTCAGCTCTGTAAGGTGACTTAATGGGGCTACATGAAAGAAAGCTGCGGGCACCTTTGCTTGCTTTGCTGTTTGTTTTTCCACTTCCACGCTATGTAATTATATGATCTGAGGAACTGAACCATGAGCTGTCCTCCTCACTCCATAAAACAACTTCAAAATCTCTGTTTTTACTTTCCTCTGAACAATCCTGGACCTGTTTGAGGGTTCAAGTGTGTGAAGATTAAACATGTAAAAAAAGTGGTTTATCTAAGGTGAATGTGGGGCACAGAAAAATAATCCAGACAGCAATTTCATTTTTCCTATTAAGCCTTATAAAACAAGATGATGCTTGTTTAATTAAAATAACATTCACAAATCAACATATGATCATTTCTGTTTCAAAACTAAAACTATAATGACCCCAGCCTCTCAGGAAATACTTATTTATAGCATGGATGCTTGAGTTTCTCACCTCTTTTAGTGGGTCGTTGAGTTCGCTCAGGATGTTGTCCTCGTCGAAGATTTTGCCTTGGTAGCGGTGTTCGTAGTAGTCATGGATTTTCTGCCTCATGTCTGCTGGGAGCTTGTGGAAGGACATGTATTGCTCCACTTGCTTATACTGGAAAAGTCACAGAAAGCACATGCATCAGTTCAAACAGATTTAGATAAACACAATTATGTGAGTCGTTTGAGATTTCCCAACAGTTTCACACATTAAAAAGAGCATAAAAGATGCGGATTATCCCACAGTGAACGCTGTGTTCCTGTAATGAGGACGAGTCGTGCTCTCACACAGTCACAGGGCCGTGTCCGGGTTGTGTGTGCGGGGAGGAAGAGAGGCAGGTGGTGAAGTAGAAACAGGAACGGGCCCTGGGCTATGTCAGACCGAGGTAGTGGTTCTGATCACCCAGTCCTAATGTGAATTAACATGGTACACTGGACATCTCACAGGCAGAAGGGATAGACAACTAAACAATAAAACCTCAAAGCCCTCTTAGATTTCTAGTATGAGTAGGTTTTGTTGCATTCTTTGGTAGGAACAGATCTGGTATTGCTAATATCAATGTTTACTTTTTTAACCCTCACTACAGCAACTGGCAGCCATTGTGTCATCTGGAAAAAAGAAAATCTGGTGGCCCCAAAACAGAAAAAGAGCACCAAAGACTACAGTATGTAGACCAGGGGTCTGCAATCTTCCCAGTGTGCCATTTTCTCCCTCAATCCGCCACAATAAATGTGTTGAGTGCTGCGACAAAACACAATATATTCATTATTAGATTCGTGCCACTGAATAAAAAAAGTTATAACAGTAACAAGGTGATCAAGGTCAGATATGAAGCAAAACAATATTTGAAAAGTTTGTATGAATAATGGCAGCTAATTACCCATCAAACTGAAAAATTCCTTCCACCCTGGACCTGCGTGTCTGATTGGGAGCAACAGCCATCAAACTTTCAAAGATATTCAGGAAGATCAGGAAGACTTTGTGCCAACTTTCATGAAAGAGTCATCACAGGAGAAGCTTTCTTGTGTACTCACTACAAAATTTAGCATTAGGACTTTGCAAAGAAAGTTTTTCTAACAAGACTGTGCATTTATAAACAAGTTCATATACAGAGTGAACATTTGATGTTGGTAATTAAAGAAAGGTAAGTTAAAGAAAGATGGTGCAGAAACAGGTGAGTCAGTTCAGTTTAGAAATATTTATTGGCTGGTTTTAGGGAACAAATTGACCAGGGTATGGATTAAACAATCAACTAACCAATTCTTATTATAGAAAAATAATCACTGGGGGTAAAATTAGTTTGAAATTAGAAACATTGGTGTTTGCAGTTAAATACACTGGTAACTGAAACTAATCAGTGAGGTACGGGTGAAGGACAGCATCAATTTATTACAAAAACAAGGATTTTATAGAAAAATAGGAAATGTTCATAAAGTACATATTTTCAGTTTTTATTATTTATGACTGAATTCAGAATGATTATTGTTATTTTTGAGTTTTTTTTCTTATGTGGAACTAAAATGTAAGAGACTTGCAGGATTTTAAATCCTGACCAGTTGAACCAGAAGACAGAAACAGGAACAGAATCGTGAACTCATCTATGTTGATCAGTGTTTTTCTTCACAGATTTGAGATGAACTCCATCTCCACATCCAATCCAGACAGCTGAAAGTAAACAGTGTTTCTCACACTCTCTTGGGTAATCACGGTGAAGCAGCGAGGGAGATCAGACAGCAGCTGTGGGGTCGGTAGCTCAGGTCAATGGCGAGCTCTTTGACCGGTGTGATGCAACCAGCCAGAGAAAGAGAAGACTCTTCAATCACAATGCCCTCTTTTATTGATTCCTCTACCAGCTGCAGAAAGGTGATAAGGGACCTGGGCTTTGTTTGTGGGAAATTGATTTGTTGTGAGTTCACAGAGTTGATGCTGGAAAGTGTCCACTGGGACTCAGCCAGCCCATTTTGGCTCGAGCAACCAAGGTGGAACACAAATTTTGGCAAAAGTGGAAAGATGTTAAGTTATTGTGTCCCCCTATATTGACTTCTTCCATCCAGAATCATATGTCTAAATTACATTGATAGTCATATAAAATCCTGACTTAAATATTTTCTTTTTAGGAGTTTTAATTGGGTAATTTAAATGCAGTGCAGATTTAGATTTTTTATAGTTTCAGAGGTTAAGAGTCAGCATCTGAAGCCCAGTTCACACGGCAGGGTTTTTAAACAGCCAGCCGGTTTTCAAACATGAGACACCACAGGTGTGACCAAATCACTGCTTTGCAAATCACAAGTAAGTCACAAGTCTTTCCAGTCAAGTCTTGAGTCAAGTCCAAGTCAAAGACGATCAAGTCCAAGTCGAGTCCAAAGTCAATGATATGGATGTCTAAGTCAAGTCCAAGTTCTTAACTTTGAATTTTCAAGTCATAATTAAGTCATCTGAACAACTTCAATTGAATGACAATGACAATAAATAAATTCCAGTAATAAAACTTCTTAAAGCTTCATTTATTTGCTCAAACAAGCAGAAACCGAGCTGCTGCCTTTAGCAGTAAATCAAACCCAGAACCAAGAACGATTTATGATTTTTGTCCATGTCGTGCCACTTTTGTGCCAAAATATCAAATAGTCATCATCAAGTCAACAGATGCAAGTCGATTCAAGTCGCAAGTCATTGGTGTTCAAGTCCGAGTCAAGTTGTAAGTCTTTATAAATTTTATTAAGTCAAGTGGGAAGTCATTAAAATAATGACTCGAGTCTGACTCGAGTCCAGGTCATGTGACTCAAGTTTATACCTCTGTAAGACACACACGTGGTTTGGTTCTTCAGTGTGGGATGTGCAACAACTCGACAAAAACTACACACTACACACAAACCACTTTCACTCATGGACATTCTCCGCTCACACAAGAAATCTCTCGAGATAAAACCTGACTTCAAGGTAAACAAAGTGAAAGAAGATCGTGCTGCACATATCTGTCACATTGCTTTAGCTAAATGTCACATTCAACAGGCAGCATCTTCTTTTCTTCTCAAAGTCAAACCAAGACAATCCAACATGTTTCCAACAAGTCTGGACTTGATCGGAGCAGCTTCAACATCATTCTGAGCAGATCAGAGTGCTCGTAACACACCACAAAAGGTAGGATTATCTGATAAGATTATCTTCAGAACCGTTACAGTAATCACATGCAACTTTAAGATTGTAGGAAGGGGCGGGGATGGTCAAACATTCTTATGATTATCCTGCCATGTGAATTGAGCTTTATTTGCAGCAGAAAGCTAAATGTCAAGCTAATGGCTAGTTAGACTGAAATTTTAAAATGATGCTGATTAGTATGAAACAAATACAGTTTCACCAGAATATCACTATTTTCAGACATTGAATTCATGACATTGCATTTTAATTCTGTAAAATTGTTTTTCAATTGAATATGTTAGAAAATTTTCATCTTCAAAAATTCAACAACAGAATTTCAGCGTAAATTTTATCTGCGGAAATTCAACATCAGAAAGTTAACATCAAAAATTCTATAACAGAAATTCAACAGCAAATGGGGTGACCTCCCGGTGACCCAAGCAAAAGCGATCTCAGTCGATCAAGTCGACGCCTCACTGGAGTCATATGACAAGAGACATAATTAAATTGGTTAAAAGCCACTTGACTCAATCAAGTGACGATTACTTTGGCTTAGTCACCAGTTCACCTAATTTGTCCTTAAATTTCTGCTGTTAAATTTAAATGTTGAAATTTTTACAAGAAAAATATGTTGTTGTTGTTGTTTTTTTACATAAAATGCTGTTGAACTTTTACAGAAAAATATTTAGTAAGTTAAAAAAATTCTAATTAAATAATCTCACAGAATAAAAATTCAATGTTATAAATTTGAAGTCTACGTCATATTCTGGTGAGACTGCTTCTTCCATAGATTTCAACCATCAAAAATAGTTTTAAACTAAAGATCTGTACAAGTAAATACTTCACGTGACATCATGCTGTTTATCTGGATCTCTAACCTGCAGTCCAGCTATTTTGAGCAGCTTGATCCATTACATCTTCTGGGGAAAGCATCTTGCTGAATGGATTTTTCAGTATATCTACTAAAAATACTTTTCCGTTATTAGATATTCTTCCAGTTAGAATTCTGCTCTTAATTTTCCACAAAGTGAAATGGTTTTGATTGTTGTCTAAAGCAGGTAAGATACTAACTCCAAATGATCTCTATTTTTTAAAATACTTAGGATAGAGCCAGACGTGATTTTGTGCTTTAAACTCTGTAAATACATTAGTTTTGCTATTTTATTTAAAACATAATTTCTCAGCAAGTATTAAAGATTATAAAAAATCATCTTAAATTTGTGAAGAAATGTTGAAAATCAGCTTGTTTGGTCTTAAGCTGCAACGACACACAACTGTCCTCTGGCTTGCAGTGATTCAGCGCTAAGACATCTCAGCAGGGATGGGATATGGTGCATACTTTACTCCCTCGTTTCCTTTAAGTATTTAAACTTCTCTCCTCTGGATAGTGCTCACTGTGCATTTTTTCATCATCCTTTTGATATTGTTGGTAATAAATGTTTGATTTTCTTATCTTCCGCTCCAATTAACAAGAACAGTTACTAAAAAAAAGTATATAAAATTTGAAAACACTACATCGAGTGACAACAATATGTCCTTATGAACATCTTGTTTCCTCAAATTGTTCATAAGAACACTCCTACCCATCATTCCACCCATGCTTCCAACCCCCCAGCTGTGGCAGAGATAGATGTAATGACTGGAGGCTCAGTACCCTGAACTCATCCCTGCTGCTCCTCATCCTCCTTTACTAATATGCTCAGCCAAATCAGCCTGCGCTGAACCTGGCTGCACACTGGGGCTTCGTTACCAAAACAACAAGGCGAGTACCTGAGGAGTCACTGAC